TGTATACTAATTTTCATATCCTCTCATCCAAACAAGCTCACTATTTTGTTATCAATTTATGAAAAAAGTGCCAATGAAGTATAGCTTCTAAATCCCTAAATCCCTGAGGGAAACATACTGTAATCTAGTGACAAATGTTTGGATTTTGATATCAATAGAGCTACTTATTGAAACTTTGTGGAAGTCATTAAACATTTTTGGTTTTGTGATTCATCTATAAAATGAAGCTACTCACTATCATTGAGTCAGATCCAACTTATAGTGACCCCTCCTTGGGTTTCTGAGGCGGTATCACTACAAAAGTAGATTGCCCAACCTTCCTTCTGAGAAGTGGCTGGTGGGTTTGAACCGCCAGCCTTCTGGTTAGCAGTCAAATGTCTTAGGCATTATGCCACCAGAGCTCCCAAAATGAAGCTTATGATATCTATATCATGTTGTCTTTTTTTTTTTTTTATTTATTTTATTTTTAAAGCTGTGTTTGAATCAGCCACACACTTGTTGTGACCCTGTGAATAGTGGGATTGGACTGTAGTGATGCACAGAATTTTCATAATCTATCTTAATATGTGGAGTCTGGGGACTGCTTTTCACTTGGGGACAGTTCTATATTAAGGCTGGGCTGAAGTTGGCAGTCCCGGGGCTTAAGAGCCGCTCTTCCCTTGGGGGCGGCTCTATTTTAAGGCCAGGGCCTGAGGTAGGCAGGCACAGAGGGGTCAGTAACAACTAATGGAGACAAACTTGTCTGTCAGTTTGTTTTCCTGTGGTGGCTTACGTGTTGCTGTGAGGCTGGAGGCTAAGCCACTGGTGTAGCAAAATGCTGGCAGTGTTACCCATGATGGACAGGTTTCAGTGGAGCTTCTGGGCTAAGACAGACTTGGAGGAAGGAAGAAGCCATCAGCTTCTCAAACAATTGGCCAGTGAAAACCTTATGAATAGCAGTGAGCAGTGAAACACTGTCTGATATATTAGTGGAAAACTTTATGAATAGCCCTGAGACATTGTCTGATGCCAGAAGATGAGTCCATTAGGTCGGAAGGCACTCAAAATTAGACTGGGGAAGAGTTGACTCCTCAGAGTAGAGATGACCTTAATGATATGGATAGAGTAAAGCTTTGAGGACCTCCATTAGCTGATGTGGCATGACTGAAAATGAGTAGAAACAGATGCAAACATCCATTAATTATCAGAACATGGAACGTATAAAGTATGAATCTAGGAAAATTGGAAGTTTTCAGAAATGAAATGGAACACATAAAGATCAATATCCTAGGCATTAGTGAACTGAAATGGACTGGTTTTGACCATTTTGAATTAGACAACCATATGATCCACTATGCCAGGAATGACAAATAGAAGAGGAATGGTGTGGCAATCATTGTCATAAAGAGTGTTTCAAGATCTGTCTTGAAGTACAATGCTGTCAGTGATAGGATAATACCCATATGCCTCCAAGGAAGACCAGTTAATACTGCTTTTATTCAAATCTATGCACCAGAGCCAAAGATAAGGAAATGGAAGATTTCTGTCAACTTCTGCAGTCTGCAATTGAATGAACATGCAATCAAAATGTGTTGATTATCACTGGTGACTGGAATACAAAAGTTGGAAAAAATAGTCAGAAAATATGGCCTTGGTGATGGAAATGACACTGGAAATCACCTGATAGAATTTTGCGAGCCCAATGACTTGTTGCAAATACCTTTTTTCAGCAACATAAGTGATGAATGTTACAAGTGAATTTCACCAGATGGAATACACAGGAATCAGATCAACTACATCCGTGGCAAGAAGAGATGGAGAACTTCAGTATCTTTGGCCAAAACAAGGCCAGGACAACTGCTCATACGTACGTTCATGTTGAAGTTGAAGACAAAACAAGTCCATGAGAGCCAAAATATGACCTTGATAATATCCTTCCTGAATTTAGAGACCATTTAAAGAATGCAAAGAGTCTCCTTGATGATTAAGGTGTGCCTACCCCAAGCCATGGTATTTTCAATTGCCTCATATGTATGTGAGAGCTGCACAATGAATAAGGAAGACTGAAGAAGAGTTGATGCTTTTGAGTTGTGGTATTGGAGAAGAATACTAAGAGTACCATGGTCTGTAAAAGGACTAACAAATCTGTCCTGGAAGAAGTGCAGCCTGAATGCTCCTTGGAAGTAAGAATGGCCAGACTTCATCTCACCTACTTCGGTCATGGTGTTAGAAGGAACCATTCACTGGAGAAGGATATCAAACTTGGAAAAGTGGAGGGTCAATGAAGAAAGGGAAGGCCCTCAAGGAGATGGATTGACACAGTGGCTACAACGATGGGCTCAGATATAGCAAGGATCATGAGGCTGGCACAGGACTGGGCAGTGTTTTGTTCTGCTGTGCATAGGGTCATTATGTGTCAGAGATGTTTTGACACCCCTAAAAACGACATCTTAATCTGTAAGGAGCTCTGGTGGTGTAGTGGATAAGCATTTGAGTGCTAATCAGAAAGTCAGCAGTTCATACCCACCAGCTGCTCTCAGAAGAAAGATGGGGGAATCTACTTCTGTGAAGTTTTTCAGCCTCAGAAACCCCTTGGGCGTCACTATGAGTCAGGATCAACTTGATGGCAGTGCATTTGGTTCTTGGGTTATATTAATCTGTAAACTCTTCTGAAACCTGTTCAGCATCATAGCAACATCCAAGCCTTTATTGACGAGAAGCCAGGAATCAAACGGGTCTCTCACATAGAAGGCAAGAGTTCTACTATTGAACCACCACAGTCCACATCTATATCACAGAATAAGGATAAAATGAACTAATGTGTGTGAAGGAGTTTTGTAATTAGTTAGGTCCTTCTTACCTTTGAAGCATAGTTCTACTCTGTTACACATGAGTCTGAAGTGACTCTTCAGCACCTTGTACTAGTACATTTCTTATCTAGTTGTTATTTGTGGTAGTTAAAGTTGTATGTTAACTTGGCTGGGCCTGATTGAGTGACTGGGCAGCTGATGGTAGTTATTCCCCATGATGAGACTGGTAATCAACTCCATGGTGGGATCTACCACAAGCAGTTGAGTAGCTTCTTTAGAGATGTGGTCTGCTTCCCATATATAAGCAGCAGCTTTGGGAACAGTCTCTAGCTTGTGGCACACTTGAACCTTGCATGAAGCCATGTCGTTGTTCAGCAGCCTGTCATGGTCTGCCGATCTTGGGACTTTCAATGGAGTTGAATTAATGGCCTGTCGTGTGGTTTGGTAACATCAGGACTGTGCCATTTTATTTGTTGACCTCGTGCTTGTTAACCTCAGGAGCTGAACCCTAGGGTTGAGGGGCTTTTACCCAGTCCCTGGAGCCTGGCACTTGGAACTCGGACTTCTAGCTTCCCAAACTGTAAGAGAATAAACTCCTGTTTGTTCAAGCCATCCCATTTGTGATATTTCTGTTAGAGCAGTACTAGGTAACCAGAACATTTTTGTTGACATCAAGTTGGTTCTGATTCATAGTGTCCCTATGTACAACAGAACCAAACACTGTCTGCTTCTGTGCCATCCTCACAATCCTTGCTATGCCCATCATTGCAGCCACTGTGTCAGTCCTCTTCTTGAAGGGCTTCCTCTTTTTCGCTGACCCTCTGACTTACCAAACATGATATGCCCTCTAATTTGCCAAACACAATATCCTTCTCCAGAGACTGGTCCCTTCTGCTAACATGACCAAAGTACAAGAGATGAAGTCTGCCCATTCGCACTTCCAAGGAGCTTTCTTGTTACATGTCTTCAAAGATGAAGATTTGTTCTTCTGGCAGTCTGTGGTATTTTCAGTATTCCTTGACACAATTCAATGCACCAATTCTTCTTTGGCCTCCCTTATTCATTGTCAGATTTCACATGTATATGAGGTGATTATAAAGACAATGGCTTGGGTCAGGCTCACCTTAGTCTTCAAATGACATCTTTCCTCTGTGAAGATGTCTCTTGCAGCACATTTGCTCAGTGCAATATGATGTCTGACTTCTCGACTGCTGCTTCTATGGGTGTTGATTGTGGATATCAATCTTTTCTCCATTTATCATACTGTTGCTTACTGGTACAGTTATACAGATTTTTATTTTTGTCTTATCTAGTTTTATCTATTTTTTCTTTGGCTTACATAGTGCTGCATAGCAAATAACTCCACAGCCAAATGGGTTAAAACAGGACTTCAGTTTCCTCAAAGTTCTGTGTGTATACTGGCTCATCTAGCAGATTCTCATTTGAGGATCTTTGATGCAGTTGTCGGGTGTCAGCTGGGATGGAGACACTGGGCTGACTATCCAAGATGGCTCCTTCACTTGCATATCTGGCTCCTTGGCTGAGGTGGCAAAAGCAGCTAGGGGCTTGCCAACTTGCTTTTCCTCACCATCTAGCCTCTCCATGATATTCATTGAGATGAAAAATTTCAATGAATTTTTGTGGTGTAATTCCAGGCTTGGAGGTGGTCACCAGGTAGATTCCTTACATGATTACTGCCTTTTCTCAGAGAGATTGTTTCAAAAGTATTGTTGGGTGTTGTTGAGTTTATTCCAAGTCATTATGATTAAGGAGAACCTAAAAAGCTTCTTTTGACCTAACCTCAATAGTCACATGCTACCAATTCTGCCTCATTCTATTGCACAAATGTTAGTCACCAGCCAGCCTAGATTCAACGAAAAAAACCAAACCCAACAAACTCACTGCTGTTAAGTCAATTCAACGCATAGAGACACTTCCTTGGGTTTCTGAGGTGGTATCTCTACAGAAGTAGATTGCCCAACCTTCCTTCCAAGAAGTGGCTGGTGGGTTTGAACTGCCAGCCCTCTGGTTAGCAGTCACATGCCTTAGGCACTATGTCACCTGAGCATAAATGTTGGGAGGCATGCTTCGTTGAGAGATGTCTTTGGACCTACCACAGTGATTTACAATCTAATTATTTTAACACATTTTTAGTATTTCCTCCTATGTCACAAAAGTTTTACATTGGATTTTTTTTTTTTTTTTGCACAGGTTATCAAGGATCCTCCTCCACCACCACCCCCTGCACCCAAGCAGGTAAATTAGTGTCAAGTAAAGTGGTTTGGGTGGGATTTTTTTTTTTTTTTTTAGTAGTTAGAGATTATCCCCAATTTCAATCAGTTAGATTTGTTTCTTGAAGGCTATGATATCTATGTATTAACTTTTAAATTTTATGAAATTCAATTTCTAGTTTTATTCTCATCTCTTTTTTCTTGTGCTAGATTTTCACACATTGGTAAAAAGTAGGCTGGCTTTAATGATCAATGGTTTAATATACTTTTATAGAAATATATGAATAACTCTGTTGTAACTTATTTCATTTTAAAGAAGGTTAGAAGATATATCTAGCTATTTAAAATGTTAATACTTTCTTTAAAGTGATTATTGCTTTTGTATAACTGTGATGCAATATTTTTAGCAATGTGAAATATGGGACATACTTTCATTGTGCATTTTCAGAGTGTCCCAACAGCTTGTCTTTTTAAGTTTAATTTTCACAGAGATCAGAGTTGCATTGATGATTTAAATGATTCTTGAAATATTGTCATAATTTAAATGTTTTATATCTTGAAATATGAAATGATTAATAGATAATTGTGTTCACAGTTAAGGAGCAACTCCTTGCCACCTAGGAGTGGTATAAAGAAGAATCCTAAAATTTGAGGAAGGAAAGAATCTATATCCTTTAGAAATCCACCTGAAATTTATGCATGCAAGCATAAATACATGTATTTTTTATGCCCCATTACAAATTTCACTACATTTCTTCCATTTCAATAGAATTATTTATAAATGTTTAAATATGAGTCAATTCTGATTAAACAATATTTTAAGGATTAATCTGTTTTTTTAAAATTGTACATAAAAAGGAAGAAGAAGAACCACTGCCTCCCAAGAAATGGCCAACAGTCGATGCTTCCTACTATGGTGGCCGAGGAGTTGGAGGAATTAAAAGAATGGAGGTTGGTATGATTTGAAAAATAGAAGTTGCTGATCTGGAGTATTTCTGGAGCTATTAAATCATGGAAACTGTACTTTTAATGATTCAATATCCTAGTATCTTTTTTACTTAACACTGGTTCTCTTCTGGATAATTTTTTTTCCCCTATGGAATCATCCTTGCCATTCTGAAACTGTGCAAGCACCGCTCTCTTTATTAGTCAAAGAATTGCATTGATAAGACTTCTGAATTCCAATGGGCAAAACAAAGCTAGGACTTTTCTAAGTATTTTGGAAAAAATTACAGCATAGAACATCATCTTTGAGGAAGCTTGAAGCTGCAACAATGCTTGCCTTTGAAAAGATCCAATGGCCCTGTATTCTTTGAGGAGAAAATATTAAAATATTAAATAGTAAAAGTATGACCTTATCACAAACATACAGGAAGCATATTTAAGGCTTTTAAACAGCTTTTTGTTACAACATATGAGCTGCCATATTTAATATTAAATGTCATTTATAGAATTCATTTGATTTAAACTGAACTTTAATATTATATCTTAGAAATCAAATGAGATTTTTCTTAACACTACAGAAATATTTTTCAAAATGCTGAATTCATTAATAATAAGCAATCACTGCCAGTTCTGAGCCTGTAACAATAGCATGGGCAGGCCAGCATCCCATCCCAAGGAGCAATTTTAGAAATTTTTTCATTATTATACTGACTTTGTTGTTAAACACAGATCCTGGCACTTTTCCCTCATTGGATAAATAAACAGGTGATATCGAGTCTACTCTGACTAGAGGTGATCTTATGTACAATGGAGTGAATTTTTGCCTGGTCCTACATCATCCTAATGATCACTGACATGTTCAAGTTCATAGTTGTGACTACTGTGACAATCTGTATCACCGAGGGTCTTCCTCGCCTTCCTTGGTCCTCTCCTTCACCAAACATCATGTCTTGCTTTAACAATTGATCTTGGTGATGTGTTCACAGCAAATGAGTTAGAAAGTGTTCTGCTGTGATTCTAAGATGTCCACTGGTAAATTTCCAGAAGTACCGCACCTGGCCATTTTCTTAGCCTTAGTCTGGAAGCTTCACTAAAACATGTCCAACCTGGGTGACCCTGCTGGTATTTGAAATATCAGTGACATAGCTCCCAACATCACAACAATTTTCCTCATTAGTTATCCTTTAACTTTACTTCTTGAGAAGTTTTAGCATGTTTTTAAACATTTTATGTGTCTTCCACTATTATATCTGCTTTCTCTCATTACTGCCAGCAAAAATCAATATGTTAATTAACAACCCCCAACTATTGTAATTCTCTCTCTGTTTTTTTTAATACAATTCAGCTTCCCAAGGAGAACTTCTCCTTTTTACAATAAATTTTTATATTTTTCAAAAGAGACCCAGACATATTTAACATGACTGCTATTACCAAAGTGTTCATTCAAGTCATCTGACAGTGAGTCTTCATTGCCTGATCCCTTTAGATCATAAAATAATGCACATTTCTCTTAAGATTGTGCCACTTTATTGCTGAAAATCCTCTGAGGCAGATACCTTTTGCCAACAAACCATAGCAAAGGCAGGTGCTCAAAGCTATTAAGTATGTCTTCTGGAGAAGAAATTGCTTATATGTTTGCATATAGGTAATTGGGAATATTGAACAATGCAAGAAAATATGGTTTTCTTGTTAGCCTAGCTCTTGTTTGACACAGAAGGAAGACCATTTTCTTAGCATTTGCTTTTGTTACATAATTCTAGGTTTGGAAGCATCGGGAGAGAGTGGGTCTGATGTTCCTATATGGAAAACCATACACTAATATACAATATTATTAGATACAGATATTGTAATATGATCAATCACAATTTATTTTTACTTTATTTAGTCTCATTCTAAAATGTGTACATAAAAAGATTTATGCAAAGGGGAAAAGGCTTGGTAGTATATAGCACAGAATGTTAGGTTTGTCTGCATGGAGAGATTCTCACTTCGTGAGATTTTTTTCCATAATTTTTTTTTTCCAAATTTATTTAAAAATGAGCATGCACTATTTTTTGCTTTTTAAAATTTTTATTGTGATTTGGGTGAAAGTTGACAGAGCAAATTCATTTTTTGTCCATCAATTCATTTGTCTCATACATTGCCTGCAGTTTCCCACAGTGTTAACAACTTTCTTCCCACTTCTTCCCCATAGTTACCTCTTCCCTGTGTCCTTTCCTCCCATGCACTCCCGCCCCCCAGCTGTCTCCCTGTGCATACCCAGCCCTTCTATTCTTCCATGATTGATCTCTCCAAAGAGTGTATCTACCTAATGTCAATGTTCAGCTCATATACCTGTCTTTTGTTTGGCTGGAAGCTACAGGAGTGGGTTCAATTTCAGACCTGAAAGGCAGCTAGGGGCCATAGTCTCTGGGGTTCTTTAAGGCTCTATCAGACCAACAAACCTGATCCTTTTTATTTATTTATTATGATTTTGAGTTTTGTTCCACATTGTTCTCCCACTCTATCCAGGATCTCCTACGTAGATTCTCCTCCAAGTGGTTGACAGTGCTAGCTGGGCATCATTTAGTTCTGTCCTCATAGTCATATAGGAGTATGCACTATTTTTAAACTCAAAGTAATTCATTTAATTCCATTTTGAAATCTACATATATAAAATACAATAGGAAAATAAGGTAGAGATATGTCATTTAACCTTCCAAAAAAATCCAAACTCACTGCTGTGGAGTCAGAGCCAACTCATTGCAACCCCTCCTTGGGTTTCTGAGGCAGTATCACTATGGAAGTAGACTGCCCAATCTTCCTTCCAAGGAGCAGCTGTTGAGTTTGAACTGCCAGCCTTCTGGTTAGCAGTCAACTGCCTTAAGCACTATGCCATAATGTTCCTGCTGAAAAAAATGTTAGTTTTTGTGTTGCCCAATGTGCCAGTGTTCCAGAGATTGAGATCTTGTTCTAAATAAAAGGGAAGTATAGGCATTAGGCCCTAAATTGGTCCTGAATGAGAAGGAATGTCACTGGTTTACAATGAAGATAGCCAAGGGCTTATGAACATCCTATTTCAAATTTCAAGAGTTATTGATTACTAAGATGTGAAATAATATCTCCTGAACTATCCATTGAAGAAAATTTGTGAAAGGACTCTGCCACTTTTATTGACTTTGAGTCCATGTTAGCCTTGGCTGATTTTGATGACATTATATAGATTATTCTATCAATTTATATGAATGAGAAAAAAAAAAAAAAATGAAAAAGCAAATATGGCCATTTTAAAGGCAAACACAAGACATAATAATCTTTTTTTTTTTTTTTACTAAATTTCTCCAGTGTGGCTAAGAAAGACCTACTAGTCTGAATATGTCCACTGAAATTGAGAATTACTATTTTGCAAATAGAAACCTATTTAAACTTGATTGGGAAAATAGGAAAACAATCTGTTTTAAATTCGTGACTAGTCACAAATGAATAGAGATAAAGTAGATTGTTTCCAGGCTTTTAGCTTTTGAGGGAGAAGTAAATGGGGAAGGAAAAAAATAATCAGAGAGAGTCTTGACTTTTGAATAGTCAAAAAATAAAATAAATGCATAACTATTCACACACGGAAATTATTTCCCCAAAAAATATATTTTAAGCTGGAGGAAAAATAAAAAGAATTATAGAAATGATCAAAAAATCTGAATTAAAGAACACATCTTCATAAATATATTTTAAACTGGCATAGGAATTTTACTTAGAATTTTTCTTACTCCTTTAAATTCAATATTTAAATGCTATGGCAATGGCAATTTGCAGAAATCTGGAACAGAGTTGATGTTAATAACAGCTGTTAGTTCAACTCATCCACAATACCTAATGACTTCACATATGTGTTTCTGCCAATTCAGTGTGAAACTGTTTTTGTTTCTTTTCTCGATTCTGAAATTACTCCTCTATGATACAACCTCATAGCCATCCAACTATGCTCTGGAAATTATGAGATATCATTGTTTCATAACGAAAGCCAAATAGAGGTGGAAGAATTTAGCTATCAAACTTAATTTAACTTTTAAGTGCACACTTACCTTTTTTTTTTTGTTTAGCATAATACATAAAACAAATATATTAATTCAGCTAAGTCTCCCTTTACCAATCTATTGTTGTTAATTTTTCACTTTTTTTATTATCTCAGTGTGATCAGATTTGAAAGATTCAAATGTGTATACTTAGGCAAGAGTACTATGAAAACTACAAAGTATCACATAGTGTCTTAAAATGGCTCTAAGTTTAGGCTTAGAGATTTATTAAGTCAGAATGATTTGTTTTGTTGTTTGTAACGGTGGTGACCATGATAATGAAAACATTGGCTCATGAACTAACACTAATGATTTCATTTAAGCATTTTCCTCTAGGTTCTTAGTAACTCTAGTTCTGTAAGTATGATCTATTGATATTTAAAGCCTTAGGAATGCTGCCTTGGTTAAGTCTTGTCCATCTAGCTTAACCCAAAACCATTGCTACTGAGTTGATTCCAACTCGTAGTGACCCCCACTGGGCTTCCAAGGCTGTAAATCTTTATGGAAGTAGATTGCCTCATCTTTCTCCTATGGAGCAGATGGTGGGTTTTGATCCACTGACTGTCTGGCTAGCAGCCAAATGCCTTACCCATTATGCCACCTGATAATATGCCAGTAATTGTTGACAAAAGAATATGATTACCAGTATCTCTCCTGTATCAACTGTGAAGGCTAGCTAGGGATCTATAATTAAAAAAAAAAAAAATCTATAATTTCTGACTAGATCTAAGGTCCCCCCCCCAATATTTCTACTTTGGTTTACTTGTCTGACTTATGAAATGTATATGTTTCCTTAATTGTGTATCTCGTTCTTTTTTTTCCCCTAAAAATCTAGACTTTGCAATTTCAAGAATATGTATCTTGAGTTTAGACTTTTACTTCAATTTTACTGTATCTAAATATTCTATAAGTTTTAGTTGATCTAAATGAAGGCACTGTGATTTGAAAGAGAAGGTC